TGAATGAATTTAACATTATATAATCCCATTACCATTGCAATCATTATTATGGTGCTACTGGGAGGGGAACGGATCCTTTAAGTCAGATATTTAGACCAGAAAAGCATACAACAATTGGGAAAAAAAATTAAAAGCCTGTTACCTCCTCATATGGCTGAAAACAAGGGAAACAAGATATAACCTAATCTTATGGCTCTGATGCATGAAATTAACGTGTACACCTAAAAACCTGAATTAAAGTTCTGTCAAAGAGTTTAAATTCCAAATATTATTTTCCTACCTACACCTCAATTTGGTAGATGGTTATGGTTGAGAGATTCCTGTTGGTTTGATAGTGAACGGTCATTCAGAACCTATCTCAGTTTATGCTTAAAGATACTTTTGAATTGGAGTTCTGATAAAATAAACAGGTAAACTATGGCTTTTAAAAGATGGATGCAAGTAAATGTTCTAATCACCTGTATGCTAAAGTTCGTTCTCCCTTCTGCACCCATGCACAATTTACATTTTATTTCAGTTGCGAAGCTTGCAGAATGGTGATATGAAGCAAAGGAAACAGTAATAATCTTCGTGCAGTTCTAACATGTCACCTGGGTGATGTGTTAAGCAAAGAGTCAAGGAGATTCAAGAGGCTTTCATTATGAATGTGGCACTTCCACAGCGTGCTTTTCAAAGAGGTCTGGGTCATCTAGGTCTGTGGTGCTGCTGAGAAATGTAGAGAGAGCCTGCAACAGAATCTACTCCTCTCCCTTCTCCCAGCACTAAGTTTTGGGCAGCCAAGAAATCATCCAGTTCAGGAAACTGATCAAAGTAAAATAAAATAAAATAAAATAAATAATAAGCATTCAGCTTAATCTTTCTCCTGGCTGAGCTGGCTGCAAGGCCTAATGTATCATGCTGGTGCCAGCCCAAGAACAAGAGCATGCAAGCTTGCAGACAGGGAAGAAAAAGGCAAGATCAGCATTAAATCAATTTGGCTGTGAAACCGCACTTCAGGTCTAATGAATTGCTGTTCAAAGCTCTGCTACAAAAACCTTTAATGTGTATCTAAAGCAAAGCTAAATGCACAAACAATTGGCACAGAATGGCTGGTAGGGGGATGTAGTGCCTGTGTTATGTCTTTAGCAGTCAGTCTGTTGGAGAACATCCATCATGTACCTGCGCTCCCCTGTCAGCACTGGCGAAGGATGACTCTCAGCCCAGCCCTGCTCTGATGCAGTGAGTATGACAGGCTCTTTGGTAGCTCACGTGGATAAGTGGGAGTCCCTCTCTTCAGGGAGAACACCTGCAGTCACTTTCTCTTCAGATTTCTCTGCTCTGTCTGTTGAGCATTCTCTGGGGGCCCTTCTATATGCACTTCCAAGGCTTCCCCAGATGGTTACTCTGCAACCCAGATGTTGTTTGTTTATTCATTTGTCACTTTAAAAGGAACAATACCAAGAAAAAAAATAGGATGAGATATGTTTGTTCTCTATCAAGGAAGAACGAAAGGGACTTGTCAGAGATTCCAACATATGCATTTTTTACCTCGAGAAGATTGTCACAAACTTGCTCCTGTCTTGAAAGAATCTTTCCTGTTCTTTTTCTGCTGGAAAGCTTCTCCTGTTTGGGAAGATGGGCCTTAGAAACTCCATTTCTAAAATATATCAGAACTGGAAATTTTCAACAGGAGCTACTTATGTGTACCTGGGATACTTTTCTTCTTTTCTAATGATTAGGTTAATAAATCTGTGACAGCCCTGAATGTCCCTGGAATGCTCCTGTGAGGTATGACTCTGCTCCTGGTTCTTCCATGGAGTTAAAACACGCATATTTTGTAGCCATGCTTAGGTGGCTACTTGTCACATTAAATGAATGTAGGCAGCTGATGAGTGTTGTCATTTCATTTTCAGGGACCTATTTCAAAGGCACAGTTAGCAATCCCCTACTGACAGTTCTGTCAGATCATAGCATCTCTTATTAATATTGCAGAGAATCCAATATTTATGAGACCAGCCTTTTGCAAGAGTTCAAATAATAGTGAGTGAAGAAACCTTGGGTGCAAAAGTTCAAGCATCAATAGCCTTCTCTCTGGGGCATTCAAGACCATTCAGCTCTGTAGGGCATTCAAGACCTATCCTACTGCACTGCTATGCTGAGTAATGGGACTTTGAGAATTGCATAGTTCTTTCAGTGTTGCTGAAGATTGAGGAGGACTTGAGCTGCAATCAGTCTCTTTAATGATATTACTATAAAGATTGTATCTCTTGTCCATTCTTTTGTTAGAAACCATTTCTATAGCAGGTACAGCTATAGAACATTTGTCATCCAAGACTAACTATAGGAGAAAACCTGGTCCTTCACACGTAGCACATTTCCCTTTCTGTGAATGGAACATAGGTGTTCAAGCAGGGACTGCGGTGTGTGACATTTTCACCTATTGAACACACTGGAAATAGATGCGATGAACCTCAATGAACTCATGTCAAAGAGGCAGTAAGGTCTTCCACTCGGTCAGCTACTGCAAGATCTATAATGGCCCCACTTTTTGTTTTGCTTACAGATATAAAGAGCAGAGGATTGATGTATTCGTGTCCTCTGCGCCTCTGATCACAGCAGTTGGAGTAAAGCTCGATCTCATGATTAGCAATGCTCAGAGCCTGAAGATAGGTTTTAATAGGGCTTGCAGAAGCTTTTTTTTTTTTTTTTTCCCCTAAAAATTGTTCATATTCATTTTTTGAAACATCTTCTAAGAAAGCTCATGGGCAATATCAGACTTTGACAGGATGGAGCTCATTAACTTCTACCCAAGCTAAATGTCAATTTACATACTAATGTTAGTTTTCTCTTACCTCTGTGTCCCCAGTCACATTTTTTTTTTTTTGAAAACCAAATGCTTAAAGTAATTTTTAATCCATGAAATCACAACAGTTAAGAAATTGACCCAAGAAGTATTTCTCCAAGAGGAGCTACTATATAGGGAATTGCAAACTGTGGGCTTGTTATCTAGCTGCCTTAGAGGAGAAAGTGGCTTTTTAAGGAATTCTAATAAAAGTAAAATTTTATAAATGTAGTAAAAAGAATTAAATATGTGAAAGTTCTGGTGAACACTCAATGTTTTTATTTTTTCAACTTTACATCATCAGAACAAATTCATCTGTAATTGGTAATTAAAAAGATTAATAGCAATGGTGTAGGAGACAATGAATAACAATGAAAGAGACCATATTTCTCCTTTTGCAGTACATGCACATAGGAGGAAAATCCATAAGACAAAAAATAGGAAATCTTTTTGCATCCATATAGTAAACATGCCAAACTAGCTCCCAAGAGCTACAGTGTACAGAAGTTTGTTCACATTAATTTAAACATCTCACCATCTCACTCCAGGCAGATTTTTTTTTTTTTTTGGTGAAAGGAAATTTAATGGTCAAAGATTCATGCCATGAGCTAAGCAACAGCCAAGTGGGAAATAAAAAATCATTCTAAAACCATTCTCCATAGCTCTGTGTTTTGTTTGTTTGTTTGTTTGTTTGTTTGTTTTTAAGTTTTGTGCATCTTTCTTTGAAGCAGCTTATGATAGTTATTTTTAAAGCAGTATTTTGTTCCAGGAAGACTCTTGTTCCTCTTATACTGCGTTTTTAAAATAAATTTTCTTGAGCCATATTTGTAGTTTGTGTTCCTTTTGAAAAGCATCATTTTGCTGTGTTTTGTTGGTTCTTCGAAAATTTGAAGCAACGTGTTGCCAGTATCAGGAGAAATTTATATGCAAAGCGTCTGACACAGAGGAGACTTAGCACTCCTCCAAACAGGAAACAAAATACTTATTCTTTGGCTACCAATTGCAACCCAGTAAGACTTGTAAAGCAAATGTATCCTAAAAATGTTAGCAATTAATTTTTAGTTTACGTGGTGCTTCAGGGAGCCTCATTTTGACCGTTTCTGAACCAGGAAGTCACAATTTATCCTTTTAATGAAAATTTCAAAATAGAAAGTATTTTACACTAGGATCACTCTGAATGAACATATTTCTGCTCCCTTATAAATCATAAAGGATTTGTTGTGATTGTGTTAGGCAAATTTTGTATCTCTGAAACCTTCCTCTCAAATATATGGGGTGGGATTTGTTGTTTCTTCTTATTACTTTCCTTCAATAGGACCCATGAGTTGCTGGTTGAAGATTAGGGGGTGCTCCCAAAGTGGTAAATTAGTAAGCTCAGCCAAGCCATATTTGTATCACTGCCAGTTCCAGGAATTAGCTGACAATCTTTGTACACAAGTCAAGAGCCAAAAGGAAGCTTCCTTGACCACAGAACTGATCGTTACAGGTAAGGTGAGAGTGGTGGTCAAGATGCATGCCTAAACCTTTCCACTTCTGCTGTTAATAGTTTCTGGTCTTGGTCCAGTACCTTGTGATCTGGTTTCTAGGTTATGGTGTATGTATGATATATATATATATTTGTCACATTAGAAACGTGAAGATACTAACTGGCTGAAGAACTTCATGGTGACTGAAAAGCAGTTTTTTTGTAGTTCTGAGCAGCCTGAAGTTTATAGACCTAAGCGTAGGAGAAGCTACAGATGAAATAGCTGTACATGCAGATTAGCACGTTTATATAACATACTGACAATGCCAGCCAACTTGCCCATCCTGCACAGAAAGAAAGAACCTTGAATTTAAGTCATTTGTAAGTGACATGACAAGTCACACCCTTTGCATAGTTTTGTGCATTCAGATTTATTTTCTGAACATCAGATCTGCAAAGGATTGGCAAACTCACAGTTTTGGGCTTGTTGTGTGTACGTTTAAAAATCTTGGATTTGCTATGCATATGTGAGTATTTCAATATCAACGTATCATTACAATTTGATGATGATGTTCTGCAAATAAAAATCACATATAAGAAAGATACAAGCTGAGCATCAAATAAAATGTGATCAGAAAAGGAACTCTGAACAAATAAGAAGACAGTACAGAAATACAAAGTAATTTTATTTATTTGTTTATTTATTTATTTCAGGTATACCTGCAAAGATGTTGCTAGGACTATCAAGCAATGGCAGGCAATAGGCTGGGATGCATCTCCGTTGCTTTATGTGAGGATCAGAGCTACCGTGTTCCCAGATGGTAAGTAATTCCAGGCTGATCTCGGGAAGAGAGGGGCTTTTGCCAAGCTCCAAAATGATCTCTTAAAAATAAAACAAAACAAAAAACTTATTGCCCGTGACATCAGAAAAAAAGGAAAAAAAAATCTATTTTCCCCATTTAGGATGCTAACTGAAGGGACAGGAGAGAAGTCCCCAGCCCTTTACAAATTTGAGTCCATTATCTATATTGGAGACTGAAGTGAAATTTTGGTCTGTTGAGCACTGAACTCAGTGCTGATATGAAGAGGTGAACCTGTCCATTAAAACTGACAGAAAGCTACACATAATAACTAAAAGTCAGCACACCTACAACATGCCCTCTACTCTGGTCATTGGCCTAGTGTGTGGTATTCAACAAATTATAACGGGATTCCCTTATAAAGAGGAAATAAAGGAGGGTTATTAGCCTCCTTGCTCTGCATAGGAAGAAAGGAAGGGAAGATGACAGGAAAATTTGAACAAATCAACTTTATAAATTTTGAAACATTGGGTAATGCTTTAAATATATTTTAATGCATTGCCACAAAGTACTTGCAATGTACTGCTTAAAGCAAGTCTGATTTGCTCTAGAAGTATAAAGCATGGATTTTCTACCCTATCAAAGTGAAACTGCATGTGTTATCTGGCTTGTATGTACAGCAGTTTTTTTTAAAGACCTGTATATAACTTGTAGTATTGATATGCAAATTATGTCATTAAAAAAAAAAAAGAAAGATATTTATGATTAGTTCCAGTGAAAGTCCTATCTCTTGGTGCAGTTTTTCATTTGACAGCCACATCTGGGTCTTTCTGACAGAATATTAAATCTCTGACTTTTGATACCTGTTTTATATAGTCAGTCTATGTTTATCATTTCCAAGTAATATTTGAAAGGGCAGAAAACCAGGAAAAAAGCAATCCATAAAGTGAGTCCATGAAAAGGCAAGAGAAGACCACAAAGCTTTTTAAAGTTCAGCCAATTGAACCCCAGATCTTACAAGTTAGCCACAAAGATAGGTCACCAAGCTTAACAATAAAATAAATAAATAAATAGCCTCACTTTATGGCTACTGCTAATGTAATTTTGCCTCATTTTTGAAGTCCTTTTTGGATATCCTTTAATTAAGTGATATAATTTATTTTGAAATTGGATGGCCATGGGATATTTTTTGCCTATTTCTGAAATATTTAATAAATTTGCTGTGATAAAATCTACAGGATTTATGTATCATATGGGGTTTATATATTGTCTCTTTGTTTAACATACCCTAAGCTCATTTTTGAGTATTAATATGCAGTTATGAGAAAAGTGGAAAATATAGAGTTTGTATAAGAAACTTTGTCTTTGATCTTATCACAGATAATCGTGTGCTGAAGCCAGGGTGAGCTTGATCAGGGGTTGGTTTCAAGTGAAAATGCCAGATCTAAAATAACACGTTACTGTAAAATAGACAAGATTTTTATACTTTAACATTTTATCTGTAAGAACTGAGCATCTTTGCCAAACTAACTTTGAAAAACTTTCCTTATTTACAGGCTGAATTTATTCGCGAAAAATCTTATATTCCTTCCATGTATCGTCTGTACTATATTGTTCATAAGGAGGGCAGAAACTTTCATATTTATAAGTCAAGTTCTTTTGCTCAAACTCAGTATGAAACTGAAAATGAAACTCTATCTTTTTTCAGCTTTTTTTTTTTTTTTTTTTTTTTTTTTTCCCAAGTAAAGTAATGGAAGTGTCAGAAATTTTCTAGGTGGGATGTATTCAGAGAGCCTTGGAAATGAATTCTGCAAAGCTGTTTCTGTAAGGAGGAGGAATGAAACTTTCATTGCCTCATGTCATTGACCTTTCAAGCGGTTGAGAGTTTTAAAAGCTTTTTCTCCTGCTTTCAATTCTAAAGGTTTAAGAAAACAAATCAAATGCAAATATATGATGTGAGGAGGAGATTATAGGTGTGCAGGAGATCACATTATGTCTGAGATACTGAGATAGCATTCACTCATTATAAGAACTTAAACAGTCTGAGTCTTAGCGTAGGATGTATTCTAGTTTGTTGAAAGATCCTACTTTTGCTAAGAGAGGCTCCTGGCTAAATTTCTTCAGATTGACTGTCCACACAGTGGTATTTCTATTCTGCACTTACTACAAAGATACAACATGTGACCATTTTCTTTGTTTTCATCCTTCTCATTGAATTCCTGACAAATGGCTTAAAAACTACCAAGTATAATCCCTTTCCCATGCAGCATTTATTTTTCCATTCAGCATTTAATTGAGACCTGGAGACACTTCACCTGGAGTGAAGTACCTGCAAGTGGTTGGTATGAACATTCCCATCTTCCCAGTGAGCATTTTGGACCTTTATACGTCAGCATTTACAATCCCTGTATTGAACATCTCTGTTTTTGTTTGCTGTTGGGAAACTAAAATGCTGTTCAGTGCTCTGTGTCCCAGAAGAGGTACCCATTCTCCTCCAGAATCCTCATAAAAGATGCCAAGAGACAGTCTTGCACCTGGCTATTACCCTTGGGATAGGACACTGGTAACATCAACTTCCTCCTATGTTTGGAGACCTGAAAAAGGTTATCTCAGTGGAGGCTATTGTTCAGATCATGGGAATAATGTTCAGATTCTAGGGAAATGGGGCTTACTAGAAAAGCATATTAGCCTTTAATGTGAGGGAGAAACTGATGTTTAAGAAACAATGACAGAATATGAAGCTAGCGCAAATGAGAGAAAGGTCTTATATCAGCCACAGCAATCCATGTGCTAGAGCAGGAACATGCTCTGTGAGTCCACTACATGGGCTGACTTCTGTAACCTCTAGCTGTCATATATCCAGCAGCAGTAAAGCAAGGCAGCTATAATGAGGCTGAGGCATTCAACAAACAAAATTTTATATCACAAAGCTTGGGAGCCAAAGGCCTGGCACAGTGCATATTTTACTTTGCTGTTTTCTCACCTGGTTCTCTGGAAGAGCAAGGCAGAATAGTAAACAAAGAGTATGGAGGGAATATATAAAGAAGAACAGATAAGAAGCCAGGGGATGTGATTATTCAAAAAAAAAAAAAAAAAAAGTATGAATAAAGCCTGCAAGATATAAAAATACTTGGGGTGACAGCTGTATCTCAAAGGAAATGTAACAGTGAAAGCAAATAATGTTTTCTGCCCTGACAACATCTCTCTCTTCTAGTGTAAATCCAGTTATAATTTTTTATTTGTTTCACTGATCCTTTTATGATAAAAAATAGTTCACCTCTCTGAGTTAGTCCAAGAACACTGGTTGCAGTATTTTTTCCAGCACTACTGGAATTTAAAAATGTGCTTAATGTGAAATCCAGCTGGTTGTAATGGGGTAACTCATATGTTTAACATTAAGCATGCACTTAAGTGCTTTGCTAAATTAGGCCCGATATTTACATCTTTAGTACTTCCATATCCTAATAAGAACTTAATCTTCTAACCACATAATGCATTGAGTTTGCATATTATATGAAATACTACTGCGGGGATTTGACAGGCTAAATTTCATTGTAAATAAGGAGGATTAATTCAAACCCCCTTGGTGTCATTGAAAAGATTCTTATTGATTCCCATAGTTCTTGAATATAGAAAGAGAAATTAAATAAACATTCCCCAGGAGAAGAAGTGGGAGGTTCTTTTAAGTTGCAAAACAACAGATGTCTTAGTTCTATGTCAATTATTTCATTTGTGATTATTCTGCATTATGACTCTGCCCATGATGATTTAAGTGATAGCATCTGTGGAGGCCTTGAAAAGAGTCTTCACTGCATTAATTTTATGTGATAATGTTACACCTGAACTGAGCCTGTCTGCTGGGAAGCACTAGGTAAGATATGAGCATGAAGTGAAAAACAACAAGAACATCGGTGAAACTCCAGCTGTAAAATGCAAAAGTTATACTGAGGTATTTATACTTTGTTCTTGCTGGTTTCAGCTAATAAGAGTATAAATTTTTATACTTTGTTCTTTTGCACAGTAGAGTAATGCTTTGGCTGGGGGTTACTTTATATCCATATTAACTTTCAACAAAATCTTGGAAATTCTTTTTTTTTTTTTGTATAATCATAATAACGAGTAGGACAAATACAAGCGGCAGTTAATAATGCATATCTGGTGTAACTAGTCAACATCTGAACTTGTTACAAGGATGTTATGAAAAGATGTGCTTAGTCCAGTGTTTGTAACACAAATTAAAATCTAAGAAATATTTTTGCAGAGGCTCATACTGATGTTTTGTAAAGCTGCATAACAAACACTGTCAAAATGTGAACATCTTTACTTTGTATTCCCTGGTTTTCTGTTGCTTGTTTGATCTACAGTGAGCAGTGTGTAGTAGGATACTGGAAATGTTATAAATGTCTTCCCATGAGGTGACACTTTACTTTTACTCCCCCCATGTATTTATTAGAGATTAACAACCCTAGATTGTTTTTGACTCAGGATTAGTTAAGAGATCAAACTTCCTTACTTGAAGATCTTAGTCTTTTACACATTATGTAAAATTCTAGCCTTACATGCAGAAAACCTGCAGCAGGAAGTTTAACAGTTGCCAATCAATGCCCTAGTTGCTACTGGATGACTATGGTTGTGAGCTGAGAGACCGGGGGTGTTCTGAGGTTCAGTACCCCGGTTTGTTGTGAGATCAAGGTGTTTTTCTACATGGAATGCCTCCTAAGAGCCTCCTACTTGTCTTTATTTTTCTTTTGAGTTTTGTTTTCACAGGCATCTGGTGCCTTTACTGGGAAGCTAAGCTTGTGTTATACTTTGAAGAGCAGATCATAATTCCAAAATCAATTTTTTCCCCTCAGCAGGTAACATGGCATTGGGAGCAACATGAAATGGGAAAACCATGGGAAGGAAGACCTTTTTTTCTGTGGGGAAAAAAATAAAATAAAATAAAAAAACAGATTTTTTTTTGTAATTGATCGGAGAATCAATATGTTTTCTGAATTGTGCTAGCTTATTTCTGGAGAAGG